GGGCTGGGGATTCGAACCCACCACCTTAGGTGTACGTGGCTGGCGCCTTAGCCGGTTGAGCTATAGGCGCCGAGCCCCCATTTCTTAATTGTCACTCATTCTAGCTTTAGAATAATCTCAGGATTACTTGGTAGTTGAAAGCGATGTATTATTTCTTACATTTATGATCTTATTCTTCCATTTCCTTCAGTATCTTGATGGTCAAGCACATTAGTGAGCTTCTAATTGAGACTATTCTATCAGTGCAACTTTTCCACCCCTGCCTTAGGTGGGTCTTAAAATGAACACTTAATAACCTTCTCCTATATTCTTTTAGGCCTGATCTCCATGGAAGAATTTCGTGCCATGTGGAAACTTTTTAGTTCTCACTACAATGTTCCTATTGATGAGTCTCAAGTTGATAAGCTTGCCAACACAATGGACTTGAACAAAGATGGAAGCATTGACTTTAATGAGTTTCTGAAGGCTTTCTATGTAGTGCATAAATATGACACATCGAAATCAGACAGCAGCCTTTATAGGCAGACATGAGAGCATTCCTCAGGTTCCTTATAAACAGTTGGACCCAAATCACAGACATAATCCTTTCCAGGACTCTTAATATTCATAGTCAGTAAAGAAAAGTGCACCTCAATTCACACAACACGAGCAAATGCATAGTATAGGCTTTGGAAGTTCCTAGCAAGCTGTTACGGCTAAGACTAGGCTAAATGTCAGCTGATAGGAGTTGGCTCCAGCATTAGGACCCACACACTGCCTGTGAGAAACTGGGTTTGAATGTAATGTTGGTCTCTTGGATACCACCTAACCAAGAAACCAGAGCGGTTTGAAAACATCTGAAATGAACCCACAGAACACCGGAGAAAACTATTACATGCAACATCTGTGAGCAACTGAGGGCTGGGTGAAGGAATACCGAATTATTAATGGAATAAAATCTTTCCATCATTAAACTGTAATCCTTTTTTTGAGATTTTATCAACCAGTGATTCTCAGTTACAGAAACCACCCTTCAGGGATGAAGGCCACATCAGATTCTTGGGGGAAGCTATGGGAATGTATGTTTAAAAAGAATATTTTTCATGTCTATTGAAGATACAAAACGAATGCATGTGGATTGAGCCCTACAATTAATACGGTTTGACACCGTTATTGGTAAGGTGGGGTCCTGGCTATGAACTTTATAGGAAGCACTTGGTTTGGACTAAGCTACTATACCAGGCCCCAGTAGACCAGGCTAAAATTCAAAATGAAATCACTCAGGCTGAGGTTCCATGTCACCAAACTGAAACTGAGTTGTTATCTGACTTCCTGAGAAATCAGAGAGATCTAATAGCCTAATAATTTCCCAAACAGGCCAGTTTCAATTGGCGTGATAATGAAGTTCCCTCTGTCTTTTATCCTTACAAAGAAAGGTCTGAAGTAACCTGATATCGACCAATCAGTTATTTCCATATTGTTCTATTTCCCTGTTTCCATCTTTCAAGGAAAGTAACTTTGAAATAACCAATCTGTTTTTAGTTCTTTGTTTCTGTTTTCGTTAGCTTTTCTTTGTCTATGAAAACACCTCCTGTGCTTAGCCTATCAGAACACTTACTCTATTTTTATAGAATGAAGTGTTGCCTGATTCTACAGTCACCAATAAAGCCAATTAAGATATTTAAACTAAAATTTTTTTTTTGAGACAGAGTCTCACTATGTCCCCCTTGGTAGAGTGCTGTGCCGTCACAGCTCACAGCAACCTCAAACTCTTGGGCTTAAGCAATCCTCTTGCCTCAGTCTCCCAAGTAGCTGGGACTACAGGCACTTGACACAGCGCCTGGCTATAAACTAAAATCTATTTTTTGACAGGCCTGGTAACCAACAAAGGGACCCTAAGGAGACTGCAGTTAACGCCCAGACCCCTTGAGGAATTCCAACACGCTGCTGACCCCTTTTGGGGTCTTCTGTGTTCTTCATGGAGCCTGGGTGTCATAAATTCCTCCAGTCTTGGGCCAGACTGCTTGTTTTGCATTGAGCCTTCCCCGAACTTTTTGGCTTTCAAATCCCAGGTTAATGCTGTGTGAGAGCATTTGACCTTAGAGTACTGCTGTAGTTTAAACATGGTTTATCCCCTGTGAAACTCATTTTGAAATTTGATTGCCATTATGACCGTGTTGGGAGGTAGGGCCTTTGAGAGGTGATTTGGTAGTTAAGAGGGATTCATACTTTTCTCATGGGAATGAATTCTTCATTAAGGGAGTTTGGCCCCCTTTTCTCTCGAGTGCAAGTGCCCTCTCTCCCCTTCCTTCTATCTACTCTTTCAGCTACACTATAAAACAGTATTTTTCCACCTTTTTTGTCTCACAGCACACACTTGAACCTACAGTTAAACTTCTGCAGTACACTTAAATTATGTTGATAAAAAAAAGAGTAAAAAAGAATACACTTATTGTGCTTTGAACTTCTTTCAAAAATAATGATATTTAAATTTTTTGTGGCACACCTAAGATCTCACACCACACTCATTGAAAATCACTGTTATAAAAGCAGCATGAGGCTCGGCGCCTATAGCTCAACCGGCTAAGGCGCCAGCCACG